GGACACTCTTGTGGGACACTCTTGTAGGACACTCTTGTGGGATACTCCTGTAGGACACTCTTGTGGGGCACTCTTATAGGACACTCTTGTGGGACACTCTTGTGGGACACTCTTGTAGGACACTCTTGTGGGACACTCTTGCAGGACACTCTTGTGAGACACTCTTGTAGAACACTCTTATGGGTCACTTGCAGGACACTCTTGTGGGACACTCTTACACGACGCTCTTGTAGGACACTGTTGTGGGACACTTTGTAGGACACTCTTGTAGGAAACTCTTGTCGGAAACTCTTGTGGGACACTCTTGTGGGACACTCTTGTGGGACACTCTTATAGGACACTCTTGTGGGACACTCTTGTGGGACACTCTTGTAGGACACTCCTGTACGACACTCTTGTAGGACACTCTTGTGGGACACTCTGCGGGACACTCTGTAGGACACTCTTGTGGGATACTCTTGTGGGACACTCTTAAGGGCAACTCTTGTGAGACACTCTAGTGGGACACTGTTGTGGGACAGTCACGTAGGACACTCTTGTGGGACACTCTTGTAGGACACTCTTGTGGGACACTCTTCTGGGACACTCTTGTAGGACACTCTTGTAGGACACTTTTGTGGGACACTCTTGTGGAACACTCTTGTAGGACACTCTTGTAGGACACTCTTGTGGGTCACTCTTGTAGGAAAGTCTTGTGGGACACTCTTGTAGGACACTCTTGTGGGACACTCTGTGGGACACTCTTGTGGGACACTCTTGTGGGACACTCTTGTAGGACACTCTTGTGGAGCACTCTTGTGCGTCACTTGCAGGACACTCTTGTGGGACCTTCTTGTAGGAAACTCTTGTGGGACAATCTTCTAGGACACTCTTGTGGGACACTCTTGTGGAACACTCTTGTAGGACACTCTTGTGGGATACTCTTGTCGGACACTCTTAAGGGACACTCTTGTGGGCCACTCTTGTAGGAAACTCTTGTGGGACACTCTTATAGGACACTGTTGTGGGACACTCTTGTCGGACACTCTTGTAGAACACTCTTGTGGGTCACTTGCAGGACACTCTTGTGGGACACTCTTACACGACACTCTTGTAGGACACTCTTGTGGGACACTCTTGTGGAAAATCTTGTGGGACACTCTTATAGACACTGTTGTGGGACACTCTTGTCGGACACTCTTGTAGGACACTCTTGTGGGTCACTCTTGTGGGACACTCTTGTAGGACACTCTTGTGGGACACTCTTCTCAGACACTCTTGTAGGACACTCTTGTAGGACACTCTTGTGGGACACTCTTAAGGGACATTCTTGTAGGACACTCTTGTAGGACACTCTTGTGGGTCACTCTTGTGGGACACTCTTGTAGGACACTCTTGTGGGACACTCTTCTCAGACACTCTTGTAGGACACTCTTGTAGGACACTCTTGTGGGACACTCTTCTGGGACATTCTTGTAGGACACTCTTGTAGGACACTCTTGTGGGTCACTCTTGTAGGACACTCCTGTAGGACACTCTTGTGGGACACTCTTCTGGGACACTCTTGTAGGACACTCTTGTAGGACACTCTTGTGGGTCACTCTTGTAGGAAACTCTTGTGGGACACTCTTGTAGGACACTCTTGTGGGACACTCTTGTGGGACGCTCTGGTAGGACACTCTTGTGGGGCACTCTTCTGGGACACTCTTGTAGGACACTCTTGTAGGACACTCTTGTGGGTCACTCTTGTAGGAAACTCTTGTGGGACACTTTTGTAGGACACTCTTGTGGGACACTCTTGTGGGACGCTCTGGTAGGACACTCTTGTGGGACACTCTTCTGGGACACTCTTGTAGGACACTCTTGTAGGAAACTCTTGTGGGACACTCTTGTAGGCGTCAAGTCTCCAAAACAAGCATTTCGTGTGAGACTTCCTCCACAAGTCACACGTGAATTCTCCAAAACGAGCCTTTCGTACGACACTTCCTCAAAAACTCACACATCAAGTCTCCACAACGAGCGTTTCGTACGAGACTTGCTCCAAAAGTCACACGTCCAGTCTCCAAAACGAGCGTTTCGTGTGAGACTTCCTCAAAACGAACACACTCCCATCCACCACAATCGCCATTTCAGCTGAGACTTGTCACGAAAACAGAGCTTCGATGCCACACCCTGAAACGCAAATCCCAATGGCACGGCCACATCCAACACCCCAAAAACACGACTCTCCCAACGCTAATCCCAATGGCACGGCCACATCCAACACCCCAAAACACGACTCTCCCAACGCTAATCCCAATGGCACTGGCATGATTTCGACCCGTTCAGAGCACACTCCCATCCACCAAAATCGCCATTTCAGCTGAGACCTGTCACGAAAACAGAGCTTCGATGCCACACCCTGAAACGCAAATCCCAATGGCACGGCCACATCCAACACCCCAAAAACACGACTCTCCAAACGCTAATCCCAATGGCACTGCGCAGCAAACTGCGGATCTCACAAAACGCTGCGCCTGTGCAGCGAAATGCATCACGTTTCTTGCGCGACATGTCGGTGTCATGCAAATCACAATGGAATAGCGACGCAAACTGACACGTGACACGTCCATGCAAAGTCCCTTGCAAAAGCTTCCCCCAATGGCAGCAAATTTGAGACGCGACGACGACGACAAACGACGAGAGACGACGACAGACGACGAGAGACGACGAGAGACGACGACACGACGCAAGCCACGCGAACACAGCTCCAACCCCCAGACCCCCAACTATAAACGGGAACCGTTGAACCCTTCGCTACGCATTCGGGAAAAACACTTTCACATCTTTCCTTTTGAGCCCTGATCAAGTCTAACAACCCTCACTTGGCAGGTGGGGTTTCAGAACACCTTTTTTCCGAGCTGCCATCCGTTCTTCCCATTTCTTCCCGGAACCTGGGCCACCCGTTCATCGTCTCCGCCAGGCCGTGGCCGAGCTCCGAGCCTTTGGCGCCGAGGACGTGATCGCCGCTGGTTCCAGCGGGTCGAGCGGGGACACGAGACGGGTCGGGTGGACGGACTGCAGAATACTCACGGCCAGGGGTGGTGGAACATCGATTTTGGGGCGGCATGTGGTGATTGTAGTGTAGTCCCATGGAGTGTCTGGGAATTGTTCTGAAGATTTACTGGTTAACCATGACCTCCTCAGTGGCTTCAGCTAGTCCGGACATATGGATTGCAACTGTCTCCGGATGTTCGATGCTGAAGACCGAGATTGGTCGCAAGAACAGGGACAGCCCTTTTCTGGGTGGATCTCCAGGACTCTCCAGGGACTCCGGACACCCTGACATGAAGAAGGTCCAGCAAAAGTGAGTTCTGGAAGTAGATGGAAATTTTGGACAAAATCACGGCTGAATGACACTGAGTTCTGGAACACATGGTTCCTCTAATGTTCTCTACTATATATATGCTATCCCTGACATGTCAACTTTTCAACGGAACATCGACGGTGGATGAATGGAACATGGCATCATGTTCAATGAACCTTCTCAAGAGTCTAAAAGAACTTGACATGAAGCTTCAATGGGGGGGCTATGTTCGTTATTGGTGACCTTGGTGGGTGTTTTGACACGTGTATGAACTTACAATGAATTTGCTTGAGCTATACACTCCTGGAACTAGCATGGAAGTGGAAAATGGCGGACATTTTCCTCCACAAACCGGCGGGGGTCCACTGCCATGTTTGTTCCAGGGAGTGTTTATACAGATGTTTCCCCATCGGAGTCAATTTGGGCTGCAGTTTGGGGAGTGGATGAGAATCTCATCCTGAGTGCATGGTGGGCAGTGCAGTTTGATGGAGGGATGCAGAACATGTTGCTTATGAAACATTGCACTCATCTTCTGTACTTCCTTCCAGTCGCCCGTCCGCCTACTAGGCCTACCCATTGGTCTCTTCCGCAGCTCTTTCTCTTCCGCTGAGCTCACCAACCCGCCACACCGCGTGACCCCCCCGCCCGTTCCGCCGAGGTGGAAGAACGTAGCGAGTCGGAGGCGACCCGGTCGACCGCGACCGACCCACCGAGCCGGGAATGCGAACGCCGATCAGTTGGGGTGCCAGGGGGGTCAACTGATCGGCAGATATGCCAGTCCCATGGATATATATGGAGTGTCTGGGGTCGGACTGACTTCCAATTTTTTGGGGCCTCTAAATCCTCCAAATGGAGAGGAAAAGACTTTGGATGTACTTCGATGTGTTATTTCATGTTATTTCTCCCAGACACGCTAAGACTTGGATTGTTCTAAGAGATGGGTGTGGTGGATGGGCAATCTGGTCTGAAATCGTACCCGAGACCTTTGGATCAGCCACGTGGGGTTCTTTGGATCGGCCAACATGTTGACGACTCAGAGCAGAAAGTCGCAAACCAACGTGTTGTTGACAAATACCAGTTGCCGGAAACCAGGAATCACCTGGAGCCAAGGAGATGTCCTTGGAACATGTCAGTGTAGGTGCTCTTGAGCAACAAGAGTGAGGGGAGATTTTCGGGAGTTGTTGGGTACGAGATGCACGCGGGTCGAGAATTAATCCTCGACACTAAACAGTCTCAGGTGATTCACTGTTCTATTTAAAGTGATGCCATAGTGCTTGCGCCCGCCACTCCAAAGACCAAGAATTTTGCAGTAGCATTTATCATCATCGTTATCAATGATTATCAAGGATAATCAGCTGCTGAAGAGGATTTCCATTGTTTGGGAATGCAGAGCGGCCAACACCGGACTGCTTGCCAACTACCGTACAAGTCCTGAGGTTCAGCTGGGTGGACAGGTTTCTGAAGAAGATGCTGAAAGCAAGCATAATTGCACATGCAGGAGGATGAGGAGGAGGAAGAAGAGGAAGAAGAAGAGGAAGACGAGGAAGATGACTCCGAAATTGAGGAGATGGGCCCAGCCGTTTCCTCAGAGTGGCTTCCTTCATTGAAAGACGCTACACCCAAAAGAAATGAAGAAAGGTTTGTGTGTCATTGAGGATATGCCGGTAGGACTGCCGGTAGGATCTGGTCAATTTGGGGCCGTCCGTTGAATGAACATCCGTCGATAAAAACAGACATCCGGCGCGAGGATGTTGCCCTTGGTACCTTTGATGTCAATGTGTACATGACGATGTTGCACCATTGCAAGTAGCATTCTAAGGCGTTCATGCACAAGGAACTCGTGGCTTTGTTTAGAATTTGAAAATCAGCCTCCAGACTCGCAACCGCTACTTTTTTGGCGGAATAATAAATAGTGATTCAGATATATAATATATATGATATGATAGAATCTTCCAGTGATGCCATGATGCTCCTTCCTCGATAACATTGGCAGACATTGGCTTCCTCGCTAGCATATATAGTGAATATTGAATATTGTAACTTTGTATATTTGGTGTATATAGTTTATATTATTGCATTGCTATATGCAAAATTAAACACATATTATAGCACATGCATTTCCAACAGACGACAATTGCTTGCTTGTTGAAGTAGAATCTTAATCCTGATCTGAGAATCTTCAGCGTTGAAACACGGTGTCCGGCGACGGTATTTGCTCAACTGCCCCATGGGTGCTATAGGACCAAAGTTTTTGGTGAAGCAGACTCTGAAGCAGCAATCCCACCAGGTTCCCTAGTCAACTTGAATTGTGCTTGCCCCTGCGCCAAGGAGAGGGCAAAGGAGGCAGGAGAAACAACACTTCCCTGGGATGTTTCATCATTTCCTGCGGACACGCGAAGAATCACCCGCCAAGTGAACAGTTGACTGGGTGCAAACCAACGTCTCCTGGAACAATCTTGCAGGGACCAGGGACCACAGAAACAGAAGTGGGAAGGGGGGGAGGTCCTGGGAATTTGTGCATGTCAGCAAAAATATATTCAAAGGTCAAAGATGCCAAGATGGGGGTTGATTTTGTACTGCGCGGGGGCGCGGGCACTTCCATACGTTGAAGAAGGGCCCCAAATTCCAATTGGTGTTCAAGCAAAAAAAACAAAGCTCAGAACATTTGAGAACGATCAGAATTGGTCGTGAAGGTGATCTGAACTGGACGTTTTGTGTTTAGGAACCACGGTGCGCTTTGGATGTATTCCCGTTGATACGACCTCAGGTCGTCGTCGCCCAGTGACCACGTGTGTTCAAGACTCACGTCGCGGGCCGGTGACCATGATTTTTTTTGTTTTGTGTTTTGGAATGGACCAAGTGAATCTTGGCTTGTGTAACCGAAGAAGACGAATGTTTTTCATTCACTTTGACTTCCCCAAGTGAATCTTGGCTTGTGTAACCCCTTGCATTTTGAAGCCAAACATTTCCCGTACCCTGCCAAACCAGTTTCTGGAGTCTACCGGGTCTACCGTTTACCCTTTTTTCTCGGTGCGACCAATAAATCACCCACTGTGCTTCATCCTGCTCCCACTGCAACTGTTGGGTCAACATAAATTCAGTCAGTAACTATGTCAATTCAGTATTTTCTCCAACCTGAATTCATATATATATATATATATGTTCCCAAAGTTCACCCCAGGCCCATGCATCAACCTGAATTCTGTCATTCCATCGTTTGTTCCCCCCCCTTTTCATGCCTCCAGGTGGCAGAAAAGCTGGCCCGCGAGGAGGGACCGGGAGGGACCGATTCGGCGAATGACGTGCGCGGCATTCGAAAGGGTCGGAGGATTTGGACCTCAATGAAAGCAATGGCACATGTCAAAACCTTGGCTTGAATCTCAGTCATTGCTTTCAATCTCATCATATCGCATTTACTAGTATGTAATCATGAATTCATTAATTGACTTTAAGACCATCATCCACCATGAGAATCATCAAGGATCCACTCTTTTTTGTGCGTGGTCAGTCATATTGTGTGATCTCTCACACGGAAACCGCGAGCGTTCGGCGATCACGAGCTTTCGGCGTTCGGGGATCGCTAGCGACCATTTCGATGAAGATAGCGACCAGCGGAGAAGCGAGACGAATGAAAGGGACTGCAACCGGAAGATTTGCCCCTCAATTGAGGGCAAGAACAACACAAATAAGAGCAGACTGCAAAGAAGCCACCGGTGCATTGTCTTAAGTTGTTGATTTGTTATGTGGGAGTCGTTCTAAAACCCGTGTAATGTTTTTAGTGGACGAGTGACATTCTAGCTCTTTGAGGTTATGTTTACCTGCAGGGGCGAAAGGATGCGAGAGCGCGGCGAAAGGTTTGGCGAAAGGCTAAACTTGATAGAAATATATCATAGATAATTCATACATGTATGCAGATGTTGTGCATATATCTTTGTGTCTAAAACAAACAGAGAGAGTGGTTTCCATGCAAGGCGTGATAGGCAGAAAGCTGCAAGAGTAGTGGCTCAGCATGTAATATCCCCAAGGATATGTATCACCAGCTTGGTGAACACCCCAGAATGTCATAGATGCGTACGAAAAGAAACAGACAGCAATAAGAAATCTTGCAGACGGATCACAAGAGAAGATTCAAGTAGCAAAATTCCCCAAACCGAACGAGGAAAAACGCGAAAGCTTCGCGAAAGCGACGCGCAAGGTTGGCGAAAGACTAGCCTGCCCGAAACCATCGGGAGCCCAAATGGGCTAGTCCAGAGTCCACGCCATGTCGCATCTTGCTTTTCTTTTCCAGGAATGGGTGAACAACAACTGTCCCGAAGCCAAGCGCCCCAACCGCAACACCACCTTGCCCAATGCAAGTGCCAAACCTCATCACTAACAGGAAAAAACTGCAAGAAATCATGCGAAACAATTACTTCGAAGACGGAGTCGATGGCAAGAAAAGAAGCAAGCTGCAACGAAAGATGTCTGAACGCCCATGAAGGAGAAAAGATCTACCGAGCGCCCTTGGAATAACGGGAACCAAAAACCAAAGTTATCCAGAATCCACAATCCACACTCCCCAAAGTAGTAAGTAGCAGCGGCACATTTATTGTTGCATATACGATGGATGAACTTTTGTGGCTCTACTCAGATCCTCCACCGAAAACAAAATAACGAAAATAATATCATATATCCTAATACATTTTACATTGGGGGCGAAAGGATGCGAAAGATCCGCGAAAGCGCGGCGAAAGAACAATTTTTGGGAACCATAATTTTGAACAACCCCCATGTAAGCTGGCAACTGATGAGGTGCCCAAGCCCTTTTGTTTGCTTTCAATCATCGGACCATTCAAGTTTACCTCCCGCATGTATTTGGCAGAAGCTAAATTATAGTTTCACGGATACCTGTATGCATGCATGGTGATCCAATAATTTTATGATATTTTACGTAAGTTTTGCACCGGGTTTGGTTTGAAATGAGAGTTTGCCACAGCCTTGTATATATTTATATACTGTATAAATAGTAAACTATATAATAGTCTCTTTGTCATTCATGGTACTCAGGGGAAGATATGTCGGATCTACTGTACTGTGTTGTTGAACCATCTTAAAGCCTTTGTTCCTCGAAGCACTTCTTGCGGGACCCACGTGCCTACAGGTGCAGGAGAATGCGATGAAGGACCTGGCGAGAGAAAGGCAGACTGAGAATCCGAGCTAGGGGAAGAAAGTTCCACTGGCTCCCCTGGTCGGCAACATGCCTCCTTGTAGTACAGGATTCGGATGTCCCATTTTGTGTTGCTTGCTGCATTCTTGCGACTCAGGACAATGAAGGAGAGGGCTCTAAGATTCTGCCTGTGACTTTCCGGTCCCCCAGCCGCCAACCAAGCAGCCTCAAGCGCCATGACCTCCTCACTGCTCCCTGCCCCAGGCGCCGCTCCAGCGAGTGCGGCCTCGTGCGGCGCAACTCCACCGGCAGCGACGCGGTCGAGAGCCGCCGGAGCCCCTCCGTCGAGAGCTCGAGCCGCCGCTGCACCAGCGGCTCGGACGGGCAGCGAGCGCGGGGTTGGAGGGGGAGAGGACCGGTGATCCCGTGATCCGGAGGAGCAAGAGAGGTTGAACAGCCTTATAGCCTATCCCATATATGTACCACCTATCCCAGGGTCCGAACGTGAAGCGACCTCTCAACCTCTCTTGGTGATGATGTGATGAAGTGATGTGAACAAAGAAGAGAAGTGAGGGTTTCGATCATGTTCGCCAATCGAGTGGTTATGGGGGTCCATGTGAATCATATACTTAGGTATAGATATTGCAGATATTGATCTACATTGGTGCTTCAATCAACTGGATATCCTCTCAACCCATACCCTGGAAGTCCAAGACTATGCAAGTGTTCAGTTGATCCAAAAGGAAAACCATTTCCTTTACTTCGGTGGTGCCAAAGACAGTCTTTGGACTTCTTCTAGGGAATAAACTTCTAATAATACATATGTCCCACTCCAACTTCCAAGGAACCAACCCCCCACAGGCTCAGAAACGGACGTTGAACCGAACCGAACCCTGTGGCAGTTGGCCTCAATACGCCGCGCCGCGCCGTAAGGCCTCGAGCGGCGCCACTCCACCGGGGACTTGGAGCGTCCGTCGCTGGAACGCTGGGAAGCCCTCAAGGCCAGGGCGGGTGGGCCAGAGCGAGGGAAAGAAGGGCGGGCGGGTGGTCCCTTGATCCATCTGACCGGGTCTGAAAGGGGTGGAAAACGGCCGGAGAAGATGGACCGGGTCAATACTTGTCAACACAGTCCTGGGATATGCCTGACACTATGGGGGTTTGTGGTACATATGGGATATGCCTGACACTATCCCATATGTTGGGTCATGCCTGTTCTTCAGAGGGTTCTTTTGGGGGGGGAAACAGTTTACTGAGGGAAAGAAGCCATGGAAAGAGCTACACATGAAGCTCCTGGAAAGGTCCTGCAACCCTTGACCCGTTGTAGTTGCCGCTTGTTCGTGTGTCCCTTTTTCAGACCCTCACTGAATCCCTGTCCCTGTCCCTGTGGTGTTCACATCAAAAATCATTCAACATCGCGTGCCTTGTCATTGTGAAGGAAATGCCACCCTGCCCCACCGCTCCACACGCAAAACAACCCAACACATTCTAAAAGAATCTCAAAGAGCATAGCGCCCCAGGAGCAAAAGCAATCCCCTGCTCCCTTCTGAACCAAAGTAGCAACATGCATGACTTGCATGTATAGCAGAACATGTATATACTACAGATTCAATAGCCACTCCAGTGAATCTTTAAGCACAATATATCATCTATCGGTTGATTCCAACCCCACATGCGCTCCGAGTCCACACCCGCCTCATCACATCAGTCGAAGAATTCATCAGTCGAAGGACAACCTCATGGCTCATTTCAGTTTTGCGATCCATACCTGGTGAGGTTTTACTCATCATTTGTAATAGAAAAGAACCTCCACAATAACTTGAGATGGAGAGTTGACTGCCAGTGGAAGGAAGTCCAGGAAGTGTATCCATCTCCAAGTCTTCAACCAGGGAAGCGCACCTGCGAACCGTGCTGATTCCAGGACTGTACTTAGGGCCTAGGGCCTAGGGTCTGCCCCCAGGTCAAGGCTGAGATGTGCCTCATCCGCCGTGTTACACGGCGGTCCCGTTACACGGCGGTCCCGTTCGCCGGTTGGTTGGTGTAAACACATGTGAAAACAAGTCCTCCCCCCCCAGCAGGCTGCTCGTTCGCCAATGCGAGTCGGCTCCGAGTCTACCGTTTACCCCGTGCGGACGTCGTTCGGTCCTGTGATGTGAGTCGAACTGAAACCACTGGATCCCGGGATCCTTCGAGGAAAAAAGGGCGGGCCAGGCCGAGACTCCCTCGCTCTTCGGCCAGGCCGACGCCGAAGGGAGCCCCAGCACGGCCGTGAGTCGGGGAGCTCGGCTTCCGAGCTCCGACCGGACCGGTCTGACCCAGTCTGGCCCTGTCACCTACGGAGGACCCAGTCGTGTCCCTTTAAGGTCAGTCGGGGTGTCAAGCACCCCGACGTCGCGGGGGTCCAGGCAGTCCGAACGTACCGGATTCCTTCCGGACCTTATTTTGAGATATGTTGATTATATGTATGACCTTGAACATCTTGAACTGCAGTGAGCTCCAGTAAAGTCAGGTCAGGAAACCTGACCTGATTAGGCTTTGATTCTCTTGGTGACCTTGGACTTCCTTTGGTCACACCCTTTCACCTACCAGTCAGTGGATAACCTGCAAAGCCTTTTTGGGGATTGGTGCTACCCCACGGATGGAACAGATGGACAGAGCTGCAGGCCTCGGCTGCGAAAGCGTGTGCATTTGCTCACCTTCCCGTCCCAAAATCGGCCAGAGGCACACCACTCCGCACACAGCCACGCAGTCCAGAACACCGCACACGTCTGCGTTTCACAACCATGACGTGGTGCTAAAACGCAAGGCACTGTTTCTCACACGGCTCAGCTGAGAAGACCAGTAACAGTCTGAGCCGAGCCGCTCACTGTTCGAGACCATGTGCCGTTTCGTCCGCTCTGCGTATGATGGAAGAAGTGACCGCTGACAGCAAGATTCCCTTCCTGGAACTGGGATCCCAAATGCTCCAAAACAATTTTTTCATGGTGAAACACCCCCCACCCCCACCCCAGCAGCACGTTGACGTGGTAAACCACCTTGAATTCGGTGCTTTGAAGAACAGCACTGCCTCCCATGTCCATCTCTGCCAGGTACCAGTGTCGACTCAACACCCACGGACGCACGTGCGTGGCAGGGCCCGGGGACACGGTAAGGGAGCAGTGAGCAGTGGGCACCTGCAGTGGAACAGGCGAGGGCTGTGAGCCTGGTAACGCTGCAGAAAAGCAAAAATGATTTGATTGATAGATGAAGTTGTTCATTCTCGTTGGTGTTAGAGGTTGGTGTAGGAATGTGTAGGATGTCCCATCCGAAATGCTGACCGAGGTCACACCATTTGCCAAGAAGGATTTCCCTCACGGGGACTGTTGGCCAGGACAGTAGATGACCTAGATGATACTAGATTAACTAGATGGCAGAGCTTTGTGAGGTGGAAGGGAATAGCGGAAGTGGGTGCCAGCGCCATCCACTTTGAATCGTTGGAATTAGACTGTCTTGCCTGGCATCCCAAGTCAGGCTTTGTGCCGAAGGGTGCGGAGGCACTGGCCCGTGGGCATTTGGGCGATCCTAGTCGTCGGAAGTTCAAGGGGAAAGCCTACAGGAAACCACGATGTTCACAACCCAAACTATGGATTTCCTCTAAGTTTTCCTGTGATCCAAGTCTGAGAGAGGTGGTCATAATTGGGTGGCAAGAGTGTCCTTGGCTGCCAAGCCGCTTGGGCGTAGAGAGATCTACATCTACTGTATAAATACCCTTTGCTTTGGACCACCAACCACCCAAAATATGGTCCTTCCTTATCAATATTACGTGGGGTCATGTTTGGGCTCTAGGTCCCTAGGTCTAAATAGTTGCAATCTGCCCGAAGCACGCACCGAAGCCATGAAAGGACCATGTCCGTGAAAGACTGATGTGTGAAATCTCGCATTGTTCAGGATGCTGAATTCTTTTGAGTGACCCTGAAAAACTGGTGAGACACTCACCAGTGGATAATGCGATCCGTGTCGTGTGCCTGGTGGGAAGCCTCACGTGCTATGAAAAAGCCGACAAAATGGCGAGATGCAGGGATAGAGCAAATGCCAGCTAGTCTGACATCCTGACAGTCTGACAGTTGAACTCGAATATGAAACAATTGAAGTCATTCAAACTAGGATCCATGGGGCTACAATATGCTTCAATAGTGTACACTAAGTCACTGGTCATCCAGTCACTTCCAGTGACTGTTTCGTCAGTAAGGCCTAGAGCTAAGGGGATGCTACGCTCCAGAACCAACACGAACTCCTTTGGCCGAGTTCAATTGTTGTTCTTTTCGCATTGGCAAAGGGAGACGTCAGCTATCAATGGCAGGTAGAGGGTGCCCAGAGGCACCTAGGATGCTCCAAGATCTCGAAGGAGATCCTTTGTGTATATGCACCTGGTTCTTCAAAGTGACCTTTTGATATCCCAGATTATCCCAGTTTGAGGTCACTTGGGCCTGAAAAAGGTCACTTAGGCACTCCAAAGAGGTCACTTTGAAGAAGCTGGTATTATGCATGTTCTGTTTTTTCCAAGCACGTTTGGGCCATATGTATAGCGATATTATGGGATACAGCGGAATGGTCCCTAGTTCACGTTGATCAATAGCAGCAGGTGGTGTTTTTTCCCCCCTGTCGTATATGGGATGCACTGGGCGCACGACGCGTTCCACCGGCGCGAGCCGCCCAAAGGGCAACGCTCAGTCGGTGCGGACATGGCATCGGAGGATGACCGTAGCTGGGCTGGGGGAGTTGGAGTTGAGTGAATGCATTGACACACCTCCTGGTGTTAGTCGTCGTGCATTTGTGCCTTAAGAATTGGAGCTCAGAGAGGCTGCTAAGATTTGTCAGGAATCTCAGCTGAACAGAATTGATTCTCATGTGGCTACATGGCCGTTGAGCACGGGGTCATCTTCTTTGCCCATTTGCAAGCATGGGGCCATCGAATGAGGTCCATAGTGGGACGGTGGCACCCAAAACGACAGCGCCGGTTTGAGGATCTCCTTGCAAAATAAAGACGCGGTTTGATGCTTCTTCGGAGGCCAAAAGCGAGGAACTTGCATTGTTTACGTAATGCATGTATTTAATAGATTCAAAAGACTTTGCTGTGGGGAGGTGCGCAACAGTTCACGTTTAGGCCATGCGGCGTGACGGGACCGAACTTCAACCTTCTCGCAGATGTCACTGCTCCACCGGCGGGGTCGTTTTAGGGACAACGGTGTGGTTGTCCGAAATTCGCCGAGCGCATTCCGCAGCGCGCCGACGGGACACCGTTTGCAACTGCTTGGGCTCGGAAGAAAGGCCGAAGCCTGGGGGGGGTGCTAGGGTTCATTCAGACGGTTGATGTCAAGTGGGTGACGGGTTTCCTAAAGTCTTTGAAGGGTTTGATATGGTTTGATCAAGGGCTCTGGGACACAGAGTCATCCACTATGAGCATAGGATGGCACCTGTTTTCTGATGAGCTGCACCAAAAATGCACACGCACACACCCATCAGGTTCATTTCCAGCTTGGACCAGAACCCACAAGCCCTTCTCAGGTGGATTTGAATGGAAGTGAAACTCGTCCCCAGGTGCTCAGTACACGGACCCCACAAATCCATATATAGACCCTTCTTTGGCTTTTTTAAAATACCAGGTGGGAGTATCAGAAGTGACAGGTGGGAGTATAGAAGTGACACAGGTGGGAGCATAGAAGTGACATATGTCACATACCGTCACGAGTACCGTCATCATCACGAGTCATCAACGAGGGGACACGGCGCATGTCGAGGTGTCTGACGGTAGCCTGCAAACTCCCAACGAATGCAGGGGACTCTCCAAATTATAGATTCAAAGGCATGGACATTCGAACAGCAAGCAGCACTGATGATCATCCAAGTTGGCCTTCGATTGATTCCAAACCAATTCTCCAAATCCAATTCACTCCGAATGGATCCGAATGGTGTATTCCAGACTCCTTCCTGCGTCGCTCATCAGGTCCTTCCTGTGTTCCGTGAACCATGACCCCCAGCTGAGCGGTTCTGCTCTTTCCTCGCTGCTTCACATCGGCCAGCAGCATCATGACCGGTGACCGGTCGAAAGGGTTTTCAGGGAGAGGACATAGCCGAACACCACTGAAAACCTCGGAGGGTTGAGTGAGTAAACAGTGCAAGTCACCTAAGTCACCTAAGGAACTGAGTGAGGGTTCAACCCGCTTCCGATGAACGTGAATCATACAGCACTTCTGTGGAGTAGATGGCGCACGAGTAACAAGCTTTCAAGCTCGGCAACGACCAACGCTTGTGAGTGATGAGTGAGTGGCTTTCATGCGGAGGGCTGCGTCATCTACTTTGCTTTTTTACGCGATGTAGCCATATGTGGGCAATCATTAGGAAATATTAGGAACTTGTATATCAACGAAGCGCTGGCCTAGCTTGGCCGCTGTTCCTTGACCATAAAAACCCGGGGCAGGCGTTTCACGCTCACCTTCGGGATCCTGCAGGGGTGTGGCCAAGGCAAAGTAGATGAAAGCGATGCGTTTTGGAACTCCATGAGGTGCAGCACATGTTGTTGGTCAAATCCGCTTGGAGGACACCCGGATAGCGCTACCGATCTATCCTTGCAGAGCACCCCACCATGAACTCCAGCCTCCAGCCGCCATGAAATGCCACTTGGCCGACGAGTGGTCTCGCGGTCACTCGCTGCTGCGAACCACCCGTTTGGGTGGAACAAACCATGACAAACCTCTCCAGGAGCCTCTCCATGCGTGGGGTTGAAATATCATCCCAAAGAGTTTTGTTTTGAACATAGATCAGACATGTTGCGGTAGAGGTGATCGATGAGGCTGGTGATGTGCTCCGCCTGGAGGATGCCTTGGGGCCGAAAAATCGACTCGTGCGGGTGCAACATCCCATGGTAGAGGGACCTGGTGGGGTTGATAGGTCAGTGGAGCGCAGCGCTGGGGCAACAGAATGATTAATGAAATGTATTATAATATAGTCACCGTAGATCAGGTGGTTGATTGAACGCTTCCGGTTTTCTTCAGAAATTAGACACCTTCCCGGGAATCCCGTTATTTTATATATATGCGCTTTCTGGAGCGTGTCCTGTCTTCATAACTCAGAAGTAATTGGACATGAATTTGTGCAAGTGCGTTTCTTGTTTCAGAGAATTGCTGCCTCGTGGCAGTGTAGGATGCTATCATATTCATCAACCTTTGTCAGTGCTGGACTGGCACCCAGCTGGCTGTGTTTCACGATGGCCCTTCAATAATGGTCAGTTTGCTTTTTTTTGCCACCCCCATGATCCCGTTGCTGTTGGTTTCTTCTTCCATGTTCTTCTCCCTCTCACTTCGAGAAGCGCCAAGGAGCTCATATTATGGCGCTGCCCAGACCAACGGCAAGAGCCTGTGGCTTTCCCGGCGCTACCATTTCGAGTGAGAATGGTTAGAGGGACATCGGGCGAAGACGCTACCGTCTAGAGGGCCCAGAGCTAGAGCACTCTGCAGTCAGGGGTCGTTTCTTCTCAGCGTCCGCTCTCAGTCTCGGTAGTTGACCAGTCTAGTGTGGAGTGAAAGGCTGGAATTGATGAGGTGAACGATACGAGGACTCCCTCCGTCTTGGCTTGCATGGATGGGACATGTTCCGAACACACACACACAACCACCAAGAATTCCTTGATGCTTTCTTTTGTATAAGTGGCGACGGAGTTTTGTATATGGTTGCAATTGCACACCCTATATATATATATACCAGCTGCTTCCAATGGGTCACCAATGGACAACCCTACACTACACATAGGTCTCCAGACAGGAAGCGCTAGGTATATCATGATGTCAAGTGTCCATGTTGTCTACCAATTGGGTTTGTTCCCTTTGGATCCTCGTCAGTGGTACGTACCTGGCACAATGCCAGGCTGAGTTCCTTCGAGGCGCGAACGAAGAGTGCGGTGCAGTGAGGTACTGGTGAATGGAGCTCAGAAACCAATATGAGCAAGATGAATCAAGATGATACAAGTTCAGAACATGTCTCAAGATCACCACCTTGCAACATAGCTAAGCAGGCCACATATGTCGTTCGATTGGTAACATCACAGAAACCACCATCACATGAACCAGTAAGATGTTGTAAGCGACTTTTTTTGCAACGATAACATCTACTAGGGCCAGGTTAACAACGCATCCTTATGTGGCTATGGCTACCTAGCCACCTTAGAACTGTTGAAAGAAGAAAGATGAAGGCATCCTGACGCCCCCTTGTTAGGTGTAAACCGTCGTTGAAGGGCAAAGGATGTGCGTTTTCAAAAGGAACTACTAGATGGAAGTGGTTTTTTGCCAAATCCGTGACGAAGGCCACTTCTGTTATCCGGATGGTTGTTCCATCCAGTTGAAGCTGGCTTAGTTTTGCTCCACAACCTTACAGTAAGAACCACAGTAAGGCCCACAAGCGGGTTCAGACAGCTATTCCTATATGTTGTACATACTTTTGCGGCTTTTGGGGGGGAAAGTGATCACATATGTCCATCACCTTCACGTCGCCCCTGTTCCGTTTTTCGCGCCTGCTTTCGGGAAAGAAGTGAGCGGCAGGACGGACACGGTGTGGACACCCAGAACTCCCAACGAGTCCAACGAGTGGAACGCATCCATTCAAGCGTCCCAACGAGTGGACCTCGCAGTTCCCGAAGTGCCCAGGGGCTTGAACCGGCCATCCAAACACATTTGGGGGTTGCGGTGAACCACAGTGGCTGACCATGGCGGCGTTTAAGTCTCCTTTGAGTGGGTGTGTGGGGGGGGGGCGACATGCCAAGCACAAGTGGCTAAACTTTAGCCGCTAAAGGATCCAGACAAATTGCCTTGCTACGAGTTCATATTAGAGGCATGAATAATTGCATACAAGACCATAAAAGACCGAAGGCCCTTGATTCCTGCGCAGGCAACGTGTTTTAAGACCATGGATTGCTCATGCGCAAAACCACCCCGAATTCCATGAGCAGACATGTCTCTAGCAATCCTGCACGCACCTAGCGCTTCCAATGGGTGTCCT